TGACCCACAGTGGACACTGGCTTCTTTAGTGGTCTTATTGGGATCCATGGGCTGTTTATCTGCCACAGTTCTCAACAGAACATAGAGACTTTGCCTAATCCACCACTTCCTCCTTAACAGTCTAAACCTCTAAAGAAGACTTTCAAGGAGCAAGAGCAGACAAGGACATGACACCTCAAATGGAATATTTCATCATTATCTCCTGATAAGACTATAATGCTTCCACTGCTACTTCTGACTGACAGTTTAAAGCTATTTCAGGAGCTCATGACTAGTAGTTCTGACTCACTCCATAGCCCATTAGAGTAGAGGAATTCCAGCAATCACGGACGTCATATATATAGCAGCTTCTGCATGGTTGGATTCAGCCAAGAATGAGGCTCTATTGAGTTCTGTTTAAAGCATCTGGCAGACTCTGGTTATAGCACCACTTGCTTGTAAATGGGCAGACAAAAAGTTGTATGTTTTAACCAAAAACTTGGAATGTTAATTTTCCCCATCTTTCACCAAAGTCTCCAGTTGTGGGGGCAGCTGGGAAGCATGGTAGGCAACATCTACAGCTTTCAAAAATGACTTCTCTCTTAGTCACAAAGTAATCTTCAGAAACCCTACAATTCAGGATGCCAAACTACCAAACTCTGATGTCATAGGATCACATAACTGTAGGCCTGGAGGGGACATTAAGTCATCATCAAATCTAGCTGCCTGCACTGGGGCGTGGTCAAATGTATCTAGACTAGTGTTTCTCAACCAGTGGTATGAGTACCCTTAGGGGTACTTGAGAGAAGTCTGGGGGGTATGTCCACACAACTGAAATTTGGAGAAAACTGAATTTTTTTTAAGTTTTACAGCATTTTATTATGTGTGTACTTTTTACCCCAAAAAATTTCATTACCCGCCCGGCTACAATTAAGTTGTTTAAACAAATGTGTTGCAACTGTAGAAAAAAAAATTGTGTCTGAAAACTGTAGGTACTGGGGGGGGAGTTTATAATATATATAAATAAAAGGTTGACACACACTGATCTAGAACATCCCTGAAAGTATCTGTCCATCCCATTTTTTAAAACCTTGATGGCAATTCCACAACCTTTTTTAGAAACCTGTTCTATCATTTAACTGTCCTTATAATTAAAAAAAAGCTTTACCTAATATATAAATCTACCTTTCTGCAGATTAACTCATTGCTGCTTGTCCTATCTTCAGTGGACATAGAGATCAATTGATCACTTTTTTCTTTATACCGGCTCTTAAACCGTGGTGTTCAACCAGATCTGAAGCAGTAGCCACTATATAGCAAACTAACCACACTCAACCAGCCAAATAGTCACTATCCACATGTGGCTATCACGTTGGACAGCATGGCCTTAACATATTTGAAAACTGTAAGCAACTCCCCTCTCAGTCTTCATTTCTCAAGACTAAACACACCCAGATTTTTAATCTTCTGGACTTTCTGCAGAAGGCCTCTCTTTTGATGGATTTAAACTCTTTTCAGATTCCACCAATGAATCTCTTCTTATCCTGAAGGAGTTGGGGACCATACACACCTGCAAATCAGAGGAAAATTAACAGAACTCAAACCACACAGAGATCCTGACAGGTCTAGTTCTCTACCTGTCATAGATCTACAGAACCACCTAAATCTTTGACCAAGTGTCAGGTTTCATGGTTTTCTCAATAGCCCAGAATCTTCCCCCCATGGGAATTATCAGCTGCATCAATCTATCCACCTCCCACCCTTTAGCAACAGATTTTCCCACTTCTGACCTGCATGGGGAACAGACTATATCCAACAATTGGGTCATAAAAGTTGTAAAATCAGGTTACCTCTATAACCACCCCTCTTCTCCATACCTTTTCAGGGATCCATCTCATTGCTGAAAAGAACATGGGACAAGAAATCACCTCTGTTCTACAGATAGGGGCATAGATACAGCTCTAGTCCACCACATGGGGGAAGGGATTATGTTCCAAGTACTTTTTTGTCTCTAAAAATAAGAGGATGGAGACCAATAGCAGATTTCAGATTCCTACACACTTTTGTGATATCGTATAAGTTCAAGATGGTGACTCTCACAGCTATAATTGTGTCATTAGATTCCAGGGATTGGTTTGTGGCCTTTGATCTTCCTGTGCATATTTTCACATTGCATTTTACCTTCTCACAAGAGGTTTCTTTCTTGCATAGTGAACCAGGATCACTTCCAATACTGATTGCTTCCATCCAATCTCTGCTTTGTCCCAAGCATGTTTTAAGAGGTTATCACCAGTGGTAGTTGCTCCCCTATGAGAGCTAGGTATAATCATCTGCCCTTAACTCAGTGATTTGCTATCAGGATTGCCCCTCGCCGTGGAACTCATTCTCCACTTGATTACCAATTCTGTATTTGTTAAACCTCAGAAACACTGCAAGCCCATTTTGCCCCCTCAGGTATTTGGGAAAGGAGTGCCATGGAAGGTGTATGGTGTTGAAAGGCTTTTGATTGTTGTTAATTGGAAGAGGTTTGTTTGTGCCCCATCTATTTTATAATGTATCATTTTTGACGTGTGTTTGTTATTGCGAAAGTGCCAAGAGTGGTAGATCGGGAGCTTTTTTCTACAAATTGAAATAACTACAATTTATAGTGATAGTCTGTGATTCCCAGTTTGATGACATAAGATGCCCTGTGGGTTTTGTGATTGCTATAATCTCAGTCAGCTACATGCAAGAGCCCCACACTCTTGTGGTTTGTCCCCCCTGGGTTCTATTCCTTGTAAGACAAAGTGAGTTTATGACTCTGTCTGAAGTTCTTACCAAGAGAGACATCTGATTTGTGGTGTTTTGTACTGTCACTCTTCACTTTCATTGACAGTTTTTTCAATTGTATGGTTCACCGAGAGCAGGGGATTACTTCATTCGCTAGACATGAAGATGGGTTTTAGCCATTCAAATTGCCTTGATGGAATTTGGCCCTTCTGCAGTTAATCCAAACTATCTAGCCTTTGGAGAGAATTCTAAGAGAATCAGACTTGAGGCAGAAGCTTTTGAAGGGGATTGGTTTGTCTGTTCTGCTTGCTCCTCTCCAGTGTGGCTCTAGCTAACAGTCTCAGGTTTCATTTCAACAGGATTATATGAGAGCTTCTACCTCCCCCTGCACAATTTAACACAAAACAGCTCTGTGATTTGTTGAATGGTAACATGGAGCTTGATATACATACACACACACTCTCACTCTCTCTCTCCCCCCAGAATCCACTCACCATTCATTCAAAATGTAGATCAGGTGAATGTTCCATGGACTCTCCTTGGCCAGTCCTCTGGAGAGGCTAATACTGCTACTTAAATTCCAAGAATTTGGAATCTGCAGAGGTGTTTTCATGAGAAGAGGGGTTGGTTATTCCTTGCAGCTACCGATCTCTGGACTTATTGCCTTCCCAAATTCACACTCTCTCTACCTCAGAGATTGTTCTCCAGACAGGTGCATAGGAATGGAGGGAGCATGCATTTCATTCCTTGTAACCATACTTTGTGTGCAAATTTGCATGTGGTGAGGCTGTAGCCCCTACCTGTACTAGCCACTTAAAAATATTCTGGATTCACATGGTATGTGACTCCTAATGGGAGTTTGAGGAAGTAGCTCTGGACAACTTCAGATTGGGTAAGTAACTGACTGCAGTTTTATCATTCTTTAATTATGATGCTAGCAATGAGCCCTGACCTTCAGCATATCCTTCCAACTTTCTTTTGGCCCATTTCTTGAGTAATCCAGTGTTTTAGTCTAGCATAAGAACCAAGCCCTCCAGTTTGTGGAGCATAATGTGAACATGCAGTCTTGCTTTGCTGTTAATGTCACTGCCACAAGCTGGGGAGAATGTAAGACAATGCTGCTCTCTTGAGAACTTAAAAGTATTCATGCCCCTTCAGCAGACAGAAAAGTGCAATAGATGAGAATTCTGCTGGTTTGGAGCAGAAGGCATGAGTAAATCTTGTCTCTCTCTGTGCTGGCTAGCATTATTTAATTCACCAAGGTTCCATACTACCTGATCATGCTTGTTGGGAAATCAGATTCCCTTAGACTGAAATGGCTTTCACAGTTTGAGTCCACATTTACATTCCACTTCTTGGATATGACATTCACAGCTCAGCATCACACAGGAAAGCTCTAAAAGCTCTCACTTCTCAAAAGGGCACTCAGCATGTGTCCAAGAGGGGTGTGCTCTTTCAGCATAAGAAAAAATAGAAGGCTGATGTCTGTCGGGGTGTGTAGTAAGGGGTAGAATGGGGATTTGAAGCCGATGGCTGGCTGGCTACCTTGTTACTGTGCCTCTGAGGAGAAGTGAGGGATGCAGTGCATTTCTGTAGGGGTGCATGCTTGTCTGTATGTTAAACATGTTTTCTGTCTTGTGTTCATTCACAGCTGTGATTAGCGCCCATCCCATCCATTCACTCGATAACCCTCACCACCATTTCCACTCTGGCAGCCTCGCTTCTCCAACTCGCAGCTATCTCCATCATCAGGTCAACCCTTGGCCGACTGGCACCTCCATGTCCCATTCAGACAGGGCCAATTCCACAGGTGAGAGATGAATGACCAGGGAACATTCATTTAAAAGGGAACTAATTACACAACGGATCTGGACAGCAAAGTTCCAAGGAAAATCCTCAAGTTACCTTGAGTGGTTTGATCAGTCTACATTGTTCTTTTTGTCTCTGTAAAAGTGAGGAAAATAACAGACCTACGCCTGCTGGTATTTTTCCTTTTCCATGTGTTAGACAGTGAGTCTCCTTGTTTTGAATGAAACTAAAATTTAACACATTTGCTTTATGTCTGACAGCTGCAACTTAACTTGCATCATACCTCATCATGGTGAAAAATGTGCTTTATATAACCAGTTCAACACTGAGAGCCCATCTCTGGGAGTAGGGTTGGCTTGTTCATTCATTCCTACAGAAGACCAAGGAATGGAACAGAATAATTATCAACTTAATTCTGATTTCTCAGTGATGGAGTGTGATGAGTTAAGAATGAACAAAACCCCCTTGTTATTTATGAAGATTTTGCCCCAGTCATCTGAATTTCCATGGGTTTAATGTTGAACCTAAGATATCCGATAGTGTCCTTTTTTTAGCATTTAGAGAATCTTAAACATCCACTATGCATTTTAATTTGAGCATACGTAGAATACCTTTTTTGGTTGGTTGTGTTGAAACAGCAAGAAAAATCTCGATCTTTCCTACAGAATGTTAAGTTTGAGACACAGTGATGTGCAAGCACAATTCTTGCACTATTCCCATGAAAACAGCCAGTGCTATGAGAAATAATCTAGGCAGCATTGCTGTGTGTGTTGTAGGAATCACAAATAGTTTTAACTTCTTAGGATACAGTGAATGCATTGCAGTGCCTCTAGTCTGTTGTTAGGTTCTGAATCCTAAGAGGGTTCTATAGGCAACAGTGAAACTTGTACTGTTTTCTGGAATGTCTCAGTTCATAGGGAAAGCTTCAGATAACTCACAAGGATGCTAATATATAGATGAAGGATTGTGTTGTAGCAGAAGGTACAGATCTTTTTGTACTGTTCAAATTATTATGAAAGTAGCAGCTCTTGCAATCAAGATACTTTCTTGTATGCAGAGTGTATCAGATAAATGCAGAATTCTCTTGCACTGCCTTGCCTTTGTGACCTCTTAGATTTTGGTTTTCATCTATATATTGCAATGATGTGCCATATAAAATCACATAGATATTTTTGTTATCTATAAAGTTGTGGAATGTTCTAGTCTCAAATTGGAATTAAGACATGTATCACATGCTGTTTTTCTTAAGCAAAAGCTCTGCTGATGCCGAATATCATGGTGACTTATCAGCCCAGTATCAAGCCATGGATAACACTTTCCCTTTGGAGATATAAATTAAAATGAACTCTTCTACTATCCAACTGACCACTGCTTGGCATATTGTATCTTAATTGCTGCATCTTGTTAAGGCACAGCAACATAGGAAAAAAGACAGGAGAATTTAAATGTACACAGGTAAAGTTAGAGCAAGTGTGAAGAGGTCACTTATAGAAATGAGAGGGATAAGCCTTTTTAAATACTAAGATTTGAGACATGCTATTGGTAGATCAATGTCATAGACCAAATCTGTATCTGATTTTGTTTTCCCCTTGTGTTTCTTATTTACCTGAAAATAAGCAGCAGAAACTGTAGCACCTTATTATAGCAGGACAACAAAACATCTTATCAGCTGTGGGCTCTTTTGGTACTTATGCTTGCTATGTCATGGGATGGGTGGGATTTTGATTCGCTTGGAATTTTTCGTTAGCCTTGTAGAATTTTTATGGACTTGCTTCTTAAAACAGGGCAGTTACATTGTACTGGATGTGAGGTGCTCAGGAGATTGATGAATGAATTAGTTCCCTAGCTTTAACCACATAATTAAGGAAAAGCAATTGGTAGACTCCTGCTTTGGTCCCATGAGGATATTGGGACACTGCACAAGGAAATATTTAAGAGCCTAGCTTAAAAGAGGGAAAACATCCATTGGAAAAATAAAGCCCCATTTTTCTCTTCCCATTGTAGAATCTGTGCGGAATACACCAAGCACAGACACCATGCCAGCTTCCTCATCTCAGACATGCTGTGCTGACCATCAAGATCCAGAAAGTGCTGCAGTATCTTATCTGGCCAATGCACAGGAGGAGGATTCAGGCCAAAGTCTCCCTACTGCCCACGTCCGTCCCTCTCACCCTCTGAAGAGTTTTGCAGTGCCAGCAGTTCCAGCCACAGGTTCAACATATGATCCTGCGTTGCCAAGCACACCGTTACTGTCTCAGCAAGGTGAGCGGGTGAGGAACATGACATGGTATAGCTCTGAGAATCACCTGTGGAGGAGAATAGAGTGAAGAATAGAGGGGCTGTCAGTGGAGGGAGAGGAAGGGAATCAAGAGGGAAAGACTGTACCTGATATACAAGTATCGAGTTGAGTGGCAGCAAGAGATCAGACTGGACTGAATTTCATGTATTTAGTTTTCAAGGGCAGCAGTAAACTTCAGGTATTTGGATAATCCATTGGGATATTTGTTTCAAGCAGTAGCTCTTATCTGCTGGAAACCAGCTATATTCTGATAGACCCCTTTGGTCTGGCCAGTTCAAGAGCATTCTTTGCACTGTGAAAATGCCGCTGGCATTCCCACACTGAGCCCTAGCAGACTGAAACGCTTTCTCCAGCTGGCCAGAGACACCACCGCTAAGAGCAGGTCACCTTTTTGTTCTCAGCTTCGAACCATCCAGTTCACTCGGTGAAGACTGCGTCTATCGGGACTTTAGGGAGAACTCGACCACCTATGCCAGTGGTAGTACCCAGCGCCCCCGACGTTCCAGAGACCACCAGGATGCTTGAGGACTCAGAAAGTGTAAGAGCTTCCTTGGCAGCACTTACCAGAGCATGACACCCCTCTCTGGACACCCGCAGAGCGCAAGGGAGAAATGCTTACCATAAGCAGGGCTGGGAGGGGGGGAGGAGTTGATTTCACAGGCCTGAAGGGCAGTTATGTGCCCAGGTCAGGAATTCGGGTGTAAGCGCCTAGCTGGACCAGACAAGAACTCCCATTGGCACTCAGTAGGAGTTGGGCCCGGAATTGTCCTTTTTGCCTCTGAAACTCCCTGTATGTTTTGTGGAGAAGATAAGGGCTTATTGCTGAGAGTTGAGGCCTAATAGTGGTTGTTGGGAGCCCAGTCTCTTGTAATGCTCTGTCACTGTGCTTCTGCCTGAATGTGCACTAATCCCTCTCTGAGTCGAGACTGACACTTTACCCAAAGCAGCAGAACCTCATGTTAACAACCCTGTAACATGAATGTGGGAGAGCGAGGTTCTCCTAGACAGTTACCTGAGGAAGAGTTGCCAAGCTTCTGTGTTCCCCTCTCCTATCTGGATGAAGAGGAGGAGGGTAAAGAGGAGCTGGAATAGACTCCTCTAAGTGCCAAAGAATTACTGAGCAGAGCCGGAGGCTCCAGCAAGAGTTCTCTGCTGTCCTGGAAAGTCCCTCCTGCTTCACATGCTGTGACCTTGCCCTTGCTGGCATTTCATTTCCCTACCTTTGTTGGGCTAGAAGGCCGTTCCTGGATTGCCCTGCTACTAGAAATCCCAGAGCTGTCATCTCTCAGAGCACAGCCCAAGGATGAACAGTGAAGGTGACAAAAGGAGATTTGACTATCTCCATATTTAACCACCTGAATGAAATGGTTTGATTTTCAAAAATGTGGAGCTCCCCATGCTCCCATGGAAGCTGGGGGGACTCAGAGTGCTCTGCCTAATTGGAAATCAGGCTCCTTGTTGTGTGTACATGACCAGTCAACTGAAGGCACCTGCCTTTGAAAATGTAAGCAAAAAACACTTTGTAGCTGAAGCTACCATTGCACTGCTGCAAATCAGTAGCTCTGATGTGCTACTATAGTGCTGTGGGGGCAGAAAATGTTTCCTTTGAAATTTCTGGTTTTTTCATCTTTTCCCACTTTCCCTGTTTTGTTTTTTTTTCTTTACCACATTCTGTGGGCCAATAATTCACCCTTTTTGGTTTGATTTCTGTATGTTTTGCTGTGGTTTGTTTGCATGCCTGATTCTGCTGCACTCTCATATTTCTTTCATCGATTTTGCAAAATTATGGCAGTTGAAAAATGGTTGGTGATTTCAATTTGTGCATTCACATAACCATCAAAACTTGGCTTTGCCATTACATAATTTAGAGTCCTACAGTATACCAGAGTCATTGATCATTATTCCTCCTCCCACTCTTCCTTAAAGAACACTGCTCATCTTGTCCAGTAATCCTCTTAAATCTCCTGCAGAACTATGAACCGGATGAGCTGACCAAAGAGATGGCCCACCTGGAAGGACTAATGAAGGACCTTAATGCCATCACGACAGCATGAACACCTTCACCAGGACATGACTCCAAATCAAGTTACATAAGTCTTGGAACTCTGCCTTGGACCACAAGGAATTGTACAGCGAAAGAGAGGGATAGCACAGGAGAGCAGACATAGAAAGCAAACAAAACAACTGGTGCATTAATGCTAATGTTGGTTAAAAAATGACTTTTCTCCTTGTCGTCCAGAAACAAAGTCATTGCCAGGCTGAAGTCTGTTTGCCTGCTGAATCCATGCAGGATGGGGACACATCAGGTGAAATCTAGTGTCCAGACAAGAGGGGGAAAAAGCAGATGGACTCTGCATTCTTTTTCTGGTCAGGTTTTGTCTCAGTGGTGTGATTGCCCTGCCTTTTCAGTGTTGGACATTCGCATTTATGTACAATTTTGTGTGTTTTTATTTTATTTTATCTTTTTTTATAAAAAGGAAAAAAAATTGTGTAATCTGAAAAAAAGAAAACTGTTGTTGTTTTCCCCAACCTAGACTGACGTTTGACTGCTTGTTCTATTGTGTATGGAAGTTCATTGCCAATGTGGGTATTCTGTTTTGTTTTTATTCTGCATATAATTACATCTCCTTCCCGCAGTTAATCCATGGCCATTTGGGATGCTGCATTGCTATTTGTAAGCTCTTATATTATTTTTATATTATAATTATTAAAAGCCTGACTTTCTCCTCTCATCACTGTGAGATTACAAATCTGTTTGAATTGAAATGTAACACTGAAAGACTTGTTTGTCGCTTTTTGTGCAGTTTCAATATTTTGATTGGGGAAAGAAAAGGGGGAGGGGAGCCATGGGCTAGTAGGAGGTTTCCTTATTGTCGTTTTCCAGTCTTCATATGTTCACTAAAAGACTGAAGAAAATGAAAGCATCTTCTGTTATGTCCTTTCTTGTAACTTAATCATACAGTGTCTCTGGTTATTAAATTGCAGTGCGAGTCTTTTAGAACCATTTTTTAAAAGTTCCTCTTGTACAGTAGGATTCTTATGTACAGATAACATCATACCTTATTTTGGCAACAGTGCTTGGATTTATTGTTAGCTATCATTTTAAAGATCCTACAGATATTAACAATTAAGTGCAAATTGAGCATTATTTCAGCTCTTAGGACATGCAGCAAACAGTTTGCACAACACTTATCCGCTGCTATGATACTTAAATCTAGGGTTTAAGTACTGGCATATCCTGAAGCAGAGAACTGTGGAGGGGTTGTAATCCAATAGCATGCCTTTGGAAACAATCAAACTCCACTAATGCGATCTTTCCACTATATAAACCCCAGCCAGCAGCTCTTTCAGCTAAATCCACCCCAGTGTAATTTTTCTATCCCAGACCATTTAAACAGTGCTTTGAAAAGAATTTTAAATGTTCAACTGCAATTGAGGCAAAATGTATTTTTACACATTGAAAACCATATAAAAATCAGTATTAATGTCTCAGGTGCTGCTCTCACATCTCTCTAGGAGGGGGAGGGAAGTTAAAAGGGAATTCCTGCAGGAGGAAAACAAGGACAACTGAAGTGTTGTCTTTTTCCAACGTGCTGTAGGAATGGTGACTGGCCTAAGGAGATGAAATCTCCGCTTTCCTTGGAACTCAAGATATACACTTTGTTAGGAAGAAAACAAAACCAGAATTTACTGATGGCTTGATATGGAAAATCTACTCTGCCAAAGCAGGTGGTTAATAGGCTGGGAGTCTCTTGTGCCTCTCAGAACACTGAGCAGAAAACATTAGGATTTATATAATAATAAAGCAATAAGTCTGTATTTTCTTTTTCTTGTCCATTTGGATTAAAAGATGACTCTCTAGGCCAGTGGTCTGGTTCCTGACACTGAGAAAGAAAGCAATGAATCATCCTGGAAATTGGCTGCAACTTAATTGAGATTTGACTTCCTTTCTTTTCTTGGACTCCTTGTGTGTTGCCATTCCCAGCAGATTTGCTGGTATTATTTATTATTTGGGGGGTGGGGAGGGTTTGGGGAAAAGTGTAACATTTGAGCACCCTGGGCCACACTGAAAATAGATGTTCAGCTGTTATGGCAATACAATTCAGGGCAAAATAAGATACAGAACTTGTATTTAACAAAACACACACACTTGGATGCACATGTTGCTTCTGACATGTTGTGCGTGTTTTCCTCTGACCTATACCCAAAGAAATACCATCATGTGTACTCAGTATTCTTAGCTGTTGGGTCTTTGTGAATATTACTTCTGTAAAACACGGGGAATGTTAATATTGTCACTGAATTTGGGATGGGGCTAGTATTTTTATTGATAAAACAACTGTTCAAGGTTGGGTTTTTTAAGGTTAAACTAAAAATCAAGTCACTGTACAATCTGTATTGCACTTTTTCATGTTTTAATGCTACATTTTCTTACATATCCTGTGCTTTTGAATTTGGAACATTGTGTATCTTGTAGTGTCACAGGCTGTGTTAAATGGCAGCTTCCTTCAGAAGCATTTGGGGAAAAAACAAACCAGCCCTGTCTATGGCTTTTATTCTGATGTAGGAGAATTTTGAGGACTGCTGTAGAATTCAACCTTTCTGTACCATTTTCTCCCCTCCCCCCTTTTTTTGGCTTTTCTGTAGTATTTGCTGTATACTCTATGGCTTTTTTAATAACTTCATGTTTATTATTTAGTATTGGATATCCAATACACTTTTTTAATCCAATCAAATTCTGGTCTGCTTGGAGAGTTTGTTCCCTTTTGTTCATGCATGCCTGTGCCTGCTATTTTTAACTTTTGGGTGACCCAGGATTGAATGTTACTTACACTTGTTTGTCCTTTTGGGTTAAATGGGTGGAGCAGCATAGCGGTGTGAGGTTACACAGAGAAAGGCAGAAGCAGCAAGTTACTAACAGTGGGGTGTGTTTCTCCAATTTGCAGTTAACTCCCCTACATTTCAGAAACTCACCAGCATCAATCTCCTCTTCCAACAAACTTGCCCCCTAATGAAATTACAGGCTGAATCTCTGTGGTCCAGCACCCTCGGGACCTGGGGAAGTCAGACCAGGGGGCGTCTGGGCTCTCCCATGGCTTCCCTCCTGGCTGCTGCCACAGGAGAACCTAGAGACCTGACGTCCTCTGGCCACCTGCCTGGTTCTGCTGCCCCCATCCTGCTAGGGGGCCTTTGCTTCCTGTTCTGTGCAGAGTGGCAGCTGCTCCTGTGGTTCCCTGCTCCTGTGCAGGACAGCTACTACTCCCGGGGTTCCCTGCCCCAAGCTGCCTGGCTCTTTCCCCATGGAGCAGCAGTCTCTCCTAGGGCTCTCTACCCCCAGGTCATTGGTTCTGTGGGCTGCCACCAACCAGATGCTCTCAGCCTCTGTGGCCAGGGAGCTCTGGGTTAGCAACTTCTGTAGTCCTGCCGCACCACAGAGTCCCAGATATGAGAGGTTCAACCTGTATTTCAAAGCAATTAAGTATTCTATAGAAAGTGTTCTTGAAACAGTAAACTCAAATCCACAGAAGAACAGAATTCTAGTGCTCTGCACGTAGGAGCTGGTATCTGTAGATGTCAAGGTGCTTTACAATGTGAGGTTTTCCTGATCAGAAAGAGAGAAGTTACTTTTCAACCCTGGCATCCAGCTACTTGCCTGGCACAAGAACCCAGCCCTCCTGGCTCCCTTCCCCGAATGCAATCTACAAGCCCAAAGGATGGCCAGCCTGGGACAATAGCCATGTCCCATTTTCACACTTACTTCAAGCCTGGTTATCTTAAGATACCTCTATGTAGCCCATGCTTGGACACTAAAGTAGCAGTATGGGCATTGCAGCCTAGGGAGTGGGAGGGGCTTCACTGTCTACTACAGGGGTGGGCAAGAGGCTGCCAGTGAGCTGGATCCAGCCTGCAGCTGCCTTGCTGGAAGCCCTAGGCAGAGAACAGCTCACACTTTAAAAAGCCAGCTGTTTTCTACTCCGGGGAGGGGGGGGGGGGGATTTTCATGTGACCCCCACCCATTGGCCAATCTCTGTTTCCAGCCAACAGGACAGTGTAGGAAGCCGCCTCCCTCCCTCCTTGCCCCCTCATGCCCAGAGTGGAGCCACATGGAGCAGCCTGCAGCAGATCATATGCCTCAGGCTTCTGCTGGTAAGTGCCTCCCAGTCAGAGCCTGACACTGGCACCCCAGCCCCTCCTTTCCACATACCTAAATCCTCTGCCCCTTCCTGCACCCTAATCTCCTGCCCCAATCACAATCCCTTCCTAACCTAGGTCACATCCCAAAACCCTGCATCCCAGTCCCCTTCCCTACGTCACAACTGCCTCCTCCCCCACCATCTTACCCCAAGCTCCCTTCTGCACCCAACTTCCATCCCAGAGCCCAGAATTCCTCCATTAATATCCTGGAAGAGTGCAGCCCTCAACCAGTTTCCAAAATCTTGGAGTGGCCCCCATCAAAAAAATGCTCGGCCCTGGTCTAATGCAACTGCTTTTAGCCCTGTAGTGTGAGCTGAGTCTGTTATCCTGGGCTTCCAGGCTTGCTGCTGTGTGCTGTGCAGATATACCCTTATGCACTAGCTTGGGCAGACTTTGAGAAGCTCTCCCTAGTCCAGACAAAATTATCTTGCATATACTCCACCATTCCCTTCCTAGTACTGTTCAGCACAAATATGGGCAGTCAGACACCCAGGCAGCCTGCCTGCTTTCTCTAGGGGCCCTTAGGACTCCAAGAACACCAAGTGCAGGGGTGGCCAACTCATTACACACAGAGCCAAAATAGTGGTGGATAGAGCCAAGGGAAAGAAGTTGAACCAAAAAAACCAAAACTGTCCCTTTAAGAGCTGCATGTGATCCAAGCGGGCTTCCATCAGCCTCAGATCTTGCTGCCACAAGCGGTGCCCAGACCAGACAAGGATAAAAGATCAGAGCAGGTGTGGGAGCTGCAATTTTTCCTTTGAAGGCCACCCCTGACCAAGTGCTTTATTTCTTCTTGCAAATGTTCATTGACAAAGCCCGGTTGTTATGATTTCCTCTTAAGCTTTGGCAATGTGTTGAGGCACTAGATGGGAATTAGGCTTCAGTGTATTTCCAGGGAGCTCCTTTCAGTATGGCAGCTGAGCATGGACTTTATGGCTGCGTCTAGATTGGCATGATTTTCCAGAAATGCTTTTAATGGAAAAGTTTTCCGTTAAAAGCATTTTCGGAACAGCGTCTAGATTGCAAAA